AGGAGGAGGAGGAGGAGGAGAAAGGGGGGAGAGGGTCGGGTGAAGGGTAGTTGGATAGGGTGCAGAGGGGGGGGGGTGTCGGCGTGAAGGTGGGCGAGGATTGAGTGTTGATGCAGAGAGACAGACAGACGGGCATAAAGGGATAAAGAGAGGGAGAAGGAAGACAGAAGAGAAAGCGCAGCAGACAAGAGACAGAGGCATAAACATACACAGAGAGAGAATAAGGGAGAGAAAGACATAGAGAGAGAAAATACAGACAGAAAAGAGACAAAATGAGTATGAGTGAGTGAGAGAGAGAGAGAGAAAGAGAGAGAGAGAAAGAGAGTGAGTGAGAGAGAGAGAGAGAGAGAGAGAGAGAGAGAGAGAAGAGAGAGAGAGAGAGAGAGGAGAAAGAGAGAGAGAGAGAAAGTGAGTGAGAGAGAGAGAGAGCGAGCGAGCGAGAGAAAGAGAGAGACAGAGACAGAGAGCGAGAGACAAAGACAGAGAGCGAGAGACAGAGAGCGAGAGACAGAGAGCGAGAGACAGAGACAGAGACAGAGAGAGGACAGGACAGGTGCAGGTGAAAGGCTAAAGGCGGAAAAGAGGAGGCGGGGAAATTTGACTGGTAGGAGGATGTGGTTTTGTCAGGTAGATTCCAAGGAGGGGGGAAGAGGGGGAGGGAAGGGGAAGGAGGGGGGGAGGGAGGGGGAGGGGGGGTAGGGGGGAAGGGTTTGTGAGAGGATCCTGTGGTGGGAAAATATAGTTGGTGGGGGGGGGGGGGTGATTTCATGAAAAGGGGAGAGGTAGAGGTGGGAGGGGGGGGGGTTGGTGTATGGATGATTCGGGAGTGGTAGATTTCGAGAGTGATAGTGTGATAAGAATCGACGGAGTGAATTTGGAGAAGGGGACAGACCGACAGAGACACAGACAGACAGACCGACCGACAAACAGACAGACAGACAGACCGATCGACCGACACAGACCGACAGACAGACCGATCGACCGACACAGACCGACAGACAGACAGACAGACAGACAGACAAACAAACAGACCGATCGACCGACACAGACCGACAGACAGACAGACAAACAGACAGACCAATCGACCGACACAGACCGACAGACAGACAGACAGACCGATCGACCGACACAGACCGACAGACAGACAGACAAACAGACAGACCGATCGACCGACACAGACCGACAAACAGACCGACAGACAAATAGAGAGAGAGGGAGAGAGAGAGAGAGAGAGAGAGAGAGAGAGAGAGAGAGAGAGAGAGAGAGAGACGGACGGGCAGACAAGAGGCAAAACATAATAAAAGCAAAAGGAGAATGTATTAATAGACACTAGGAAACCTATTGAGAAGCGAGATCTATTCTCCGAAGTTCCCCGCTTGCCTCAGATGACGCAATGTGGGGAGGGGGGAGAGAGAGAGAGAGAGAGAGAGAGAGAGAGAGAGAGAGAGAGAGAGAGAGAGAGAGAGAGAGGCGTTGCTTGGCATTTGCAGCTTCTTACGTAAGGGCTTTTGCCGGTGAGAGATCCAAGGAGGGGAATATTTTTGGAAGGGGGGGAGGGGGAGGGGGTGAGGTGGTAAGGGTGGGGGGAGATTTATTGGGGTTGATTACGGGGAAATTATTTTATTATCCTTTTTGCGTGTTGTTTCCCACCTCCCTCCCCAATTTCCCCACCTCCCTCCCCAATTTCCTTCCACAATTGTCCTACTCAGAGGTCGATTCCCCCCCCCCCCCCACTCCTTCCCCCACCCCCACCCCCCTCCCCAATTTCCCCACCTCCCTCCCCAATTTCCCCACCTCCCTCCCCAATTTCCCCACCTCCCTCCCCAATTTCCCCACCTCCCTCCCCAATTTCCCCACCTCCCTCCCCAATTTCCCCACCTCCCTCCCCAATTTCCCCACCTCCCTCCCCAATTTCCCCACCTCCCTCCCCAATTTCCCCACCTCCCTCCCCAATTTCCCCACCTCCCTCCCCAATTTCCCCACCTCCCTCCCCAATTTCCCCACCTCCCTCCCCAATTTCCCCACCTCCCTCCCCAATTTCCCCACCTCCCTCCCCGGTTCCCCCCATCTCTCTCCCCAATCCCCACTACCTCCCTCCCCAATTTCCCCACCTCCCTCCCCGGTTCCCCCCATCTCTCTCCCCAATCCTCCCCCACCTCCTCCCCAATTTCCCCACCTCCCTCCCCAATTTCCCCACCTCCCTCCCCAATTTCCCCACCTCCCTCCCCAATTTCCCCACCTCCCTCCCCGGTTCCCCCCATCTCTCTCCCCAATCCTCCCCCACCTCCTCCCCAATTTCCCCACCTCCCTCCCCAATTTCCCCACCTCCCTCCCCAATTTCCCCACCTCCCTCCCCAATTTCCCCACCTCCCTCCCCGGTTCCCCCCATCTCTCTCCCCAATCCTCCCCCACCTCCTCCCCAATTTCCCCACCTCCCTCCCCAATTTCCCCACCTCCTCCCCAATTTCCCCACCTCCCTCCCCAATTTCCCCACCTCCCTCCCCGGTTCCCCCCATCTCTCTCCCCAATCCTCCCCCACCTCCTCCCCAATTTCCCCACCTCCCTCCCCAATTTCCCCACCTCCCTCCCCAATTTCCCCACCTCCCTCCCCAATTTCCCCACCTCCCTCCCCAATTTCCCCACCTCCCTCCCCAATTTCCCCACCTCCCTCCCCAATTTCCCCACCTCCTCCCCAATTTCCCCACCTCCCTCCCCAATTTCCCCACCTCCCTCCCCAATTTCCCCACCTCCCTCCCCAATTCCCCACCTCCCTCCCCAATTTCCCCACCTCCCTCCCCAATTTCCCCACCTCCCTCCCCAGTTCCCCCCCCCCACTCCTTCCCCAACCCCCATCTCTCTCCCCAATCCCCACTACCTCCCTCCCCAATTTCCCCACCTCCCTCCCCGGTTCCCCCCATCTCTCTCCCCAATCCTCCCCCACCTCCCTCCCCAATTTCCCCACCTCCCTCCCCAATTTCCCCACCTCCATCCCCAGTTCCCCCCTCACTCCTTCCCCCCACCCCCACCCCCCCTCCCCAATTTCCTTCCACAATTGTCCTACTCAGAGGTCGATTCCCCCCCCCCTTTTTTTTTTTCCTAGAGTCGGGGTATTGCCGAGTCGGAACACGTCGGTTGCTTAGGCTGGGTGGTGGGGGTGGGGGGGTGGCGGGGATGGTGGGGGGAATTTGGTAAGGGTTGGAAGGGAGGGAGGGAGGGAGGAAGGGAGGAAGGAAGGAAGGAAGGGGAGGAAGGGAGGAGGGAGGGAGGAAAGGGGTGGGAATCGAGGTGTGGGTGGGGTTAGGGGAAGAGGTGGGCATTAAAAAATATTATTATTATCATTATTATTATTATCATTATTATTATTATCATTATTATTATTATCATTATTATTATTATCATTATTATTATTATCATTATTATTATTATCATTATTATTATTATCATTATTATTATTATCATTATTATTATTATCATTATTATTATTATCATTATTATTATTATCATTATTATTATTATCATTATTATTATTATCATTATTATTATTATCATTATTATTATTATCATTATTATTATTATCATTATTATTATTATCATTATTATTATTATCATTATTATTATTATCATTATTATTATTATCATTATTATTATTATCATTATTATTATTATTATCATTATTATTATTATCATTATTATTATTATTATCATTATTATTATTATCATTATTATTATTATCATTATTATTATTATCATTATTATTATTATCATTATTATTATTATCATTATTATTATTATCATTATTATTATTATCATTATTATTATTATTATTATTATTATTATTATTATCATTATTATTATTATCATTATTATTATTATTATTATTATTATTATCATTATTATTATTATCATTATTATTATTATTATTATTTATTATCATTATTATTTTTTTTTTTTTTATTATTATTATTATTATTATTATTGTTATTATTATTAAAAATATTATTATTATCATTATTATTATTATCATCATTGTTATTATTGAAAATATTATTATTATCATTATTATTATTATCATCATTATTATCATCATCATTATTATTATCATCATTATTATCATTACTGTTAATATCATCATTATCACTGTTATTGTTATCACTATTCGCCGGAGAGAGGCAAACAGACCACAGGGACGGCGATGAACGGGGCAAAAAAGGAAGGAAGAAAATTGAGGAGGACGGGCGGGCGGAGGAGCTTAGCGAGGCCCTTGGCTGATGCTGATGGCGAGGGCGGGCGGGCGGGCGCGTGAGGGGAATTTACCGGAGGATGGGAAGGGGAAGGAAGGAGGGGGGGAGGGGGAGAGAAAAGGAGGGGGAGAAGAAGGACAATGGGAGAGAAAGGGGGAGAGAAAAGGAGGGGGAGGGATGGGGGGGAGAAAAGGAGAAGGAGTGAGGAAGGGGGAGGGGGAGAGGGAGGGAGGGGGAGGGAGGGTTAGAGAGAAAAGAAGAGAGAGGGAGGGGGAGAGAGAAAAGGAGAGAGAGAGAGAAGGAAAAGAGAGGGAAAGGAGAAAAAATGAGCTGAAAAAGAGGTTATGGTTAAGGTTTAGTTTGATTCCATTTGTTATTAATGGATATTCTTGGTGTGCCAGTGTCCATTTTGCTTCCAAATCATCCTCTGTGTGCAAGGAATGGCCGGGGTTACATCCACTGGCGGCGAGGGATTCGAACGCGGGTCAGCAAGATTGCTAGACGAGATCGCTGGCGCTGCAACACACAGCAGAGAGGGAGAGAGAGAGAGAGAGAGAGAGAGAGAGAGAGAGAGAGAAAGAGAGAAAGAGGGAGAGAGAGAGAGATTTCACTCACCTTATCCCTCACCTAGCCCTTGACCTGACTTGACACCACGCTCTCCACCTGATCCTCCATCTGTCCCTCCATCTGTCCCTCCACATGGCCCTCCACTTGGCCCTCCACCTATCCCTTCACGTAAGCTTCCACTTGGCCCTCCACCTATCCGTCCACCTCTCCCTCCACGTAAGCTTCCACTTGGCCCTCCACGTAAGCTTCCACTTGGCCCTCCACGTAAGCTTCCACTTGGCCCTCCACGTAAGCTTCCACTTGGCCCTCCACGTAAGCTTCCACTTGGCCCTCCACGTAAGCTTCCACTTGGCCCTCCACGTAAGCTTCCACTTGGCCCTCCACGTAAGCTTCCACTTGGCCCTCCATGTAAGCTTCCACTTGGCCCTCCACGTAAGCTTCCACTTGGCCCTCCACGTAAGCTTCCACTTGGCCCTCCACATAAGCTTCCACTTGGCCCTCCACGTAAGCTTCCACTTGGCCCTCCACGTAAGCTTCCACTTGGCCCTCCACGTAGGCTTCTACTTCGCCCTCCACGTAAGCTTCCACTTGGCCCTCCACGTAAGCTTCCACTTGGCCCTCCACGTAAGCTTCCACTTGGCCCTCCATGTAAGCTTCCACTTGGCCCTCCACGTAAGCTTCTACTTGGCCCTCCACGTAAGCTTCCACTTGGTCCCTCCACGTAAGCTTCCACTTGGCCCTCCACGTAAGCTTCCACTTGGCCCTCCACGTAAGCTTTCACTTGGCCCTCCACGTAAGCTTCCACTTGGCCCTCCACGTAGGCTTCCACTTGGCCCTCCACGTAGGCTTCCACTTGGCCCTCCACGTAAGCTTCCACTTGGCCCTCCACGTAAGCTTCCACTTGGCCCTCCACGTAAGCTTCCACTTGGCCCTCCACCTATCCCTCCACGTGACAGCTGGCTCGGGCGTGCGGTGTCGGTCGCGTGGTATTTCCGGCGTGCAGGCGTGCAGGCGGACTGGAAATGCGGGGGGGGGGGGGGGGGGGGGCGTTATGGGTGGGTGGAGTTGAGTGCGTTTCGGATGGGTGAGGGAAATAGAGAGAGAGGGGGGAGGGGGGAGGAGAGGGAGGTGGAGAAAGAAAAGGAGACGGAGAAAGAAGAGGAGGGAGGGAGAAAGAAAGAGATAGGGGAAGGAAGAGAGGGAGAAAGAAAAAAGACGGAGGGAGAGGGAGAAAGAAAGAAAGAAAGGGAGAGGGAGAAAGAAAGAAAGAAAGGGAGAGGGAGAAAGAAAGAAAGAAAGGGAGAGGGAGAAAGAAAGAAAAAGAAAGAAAGGGAGACGGAGAAAGAAAAAGAGGGAGGGAGAGGGAGAAAGAAAGGGAGAAGGAGAAAGAAAGAAAGAAAGGGAGAGGGAGAAAGAAAGAAAGAAAAAGGGAGAGAGACAAAGAAAGAAAAAGGGAGAGAGACAGAAAGAGGAAGAGAGGGAGAGGGAGAAAGATGGAGATAGAAAGAAAGAGGAAGAAAGGGAGAGGGAGAAAGAGGGAGATAGAAAGAAAATGGAAGAGAGGGAGAGGGAGATATGGGTGAAGGATGGGAATAACAAGAAAGCGAATTATTTTCAAACCTTTAAATAAGGATCAAGGCGTAAACGGGAGCACAGGTTGCATAATGCACCTGTTGACGTGTGTACAGGGTATAATCTACTTCAGCGCCACTTTAACTCGTCCTCCTCCTCCTCCTCCTCCTCCTCCTCCTTCCCCCACCTATTCCCCTTCTTCCCATCGTCCCCTAACTTCTCCCCCTCCTCCCCATCCTCCCCAACCTCTCCCCCTCCTCCCCATCCTCCCCCATCCTCTTTCCCTCCTTCCTATCCTCCCCCCTCCTATCCTCCCCAACGTCTTTCCCTCCTCATCCTCCCCAACCTCTCCCCCTCCTTCCCATCCTCCCCCATCCTCTTTCCCTCTTTCCCATTCTCTCCTCCCTCAATCTCTTCCCCTATTTTCCATCCACCCCCACCCTAAACCCCCTCCCCATCCACCCCCCACCCTAAACCCCCTCCCCATCCACCCCCCACCCTAAACCCCCTCCTACCCATTTGCCCAAACCGTCTCCTACCCTCCCCATCCTCTCCCTTCTGCCCTTCCCACCACCTACTCTCCCCTCCCCCGTCCTCCCTCCCCTCCCTCCCCTCCCTCTCTCCTACCTCCCCTCCTCCGTCCTCCCTCCCCTCCCCCGTCCTCCCTCCCTCCTCCCTCCTCCCTCTCTCCTCCCTCCCTCCCCCGTCCTCCCTCCTCCCTTCCCCGTCCTCCCTCTTCCCTCCCTCCCTCCCCTCCCTCGTCCTCCCTCCTCCCTCCCCCGTCCTCCCTCCTCCCTCCTCCCTTCCCCGTCCTCCCTCCTCCCTCCCTCCCTCCCCTCCCCCGTCCTCCCTCCTCCCTCCCTCCCTCCCCTCCCCCGTCCTCCCTCCTCCCTCCCTCCCTCCCTCCCCCACCCCCCCTCACGGTCACCCCCAATCACACACAAACCAGTACAATACCACCACCACCGCAACCATGGTTATTATACACCGAAGACAGCGAGGAAAGATGCTAATTTATATAACGCCCCCACCCCCCCTTCCCTCTTCCCTCTTTCCTCTTCCCTCTTCCCTCTTCCCTCTTCCCCCTTCCCTCCTTCCTTTCCTTTCCTCTTCCCATTTTCCTTCCCTTTGCCCTTTAAACCCCTTCCCTCTTCCTTCTTCCCCTTTTACCCCCTTCCCTTTTCCTTCTCTTTCACCCCCTTCCCTTTTTCCCTTTTTCTTCTTCCCCCCTTTACCCCCTTCCCTTTTCCTTCTCTTTCACCCCCTTCCCTTCTTCCCTTTTCCTTCTTCCCCTTTACCCTCTTCCCTTTTTCCTTCTTTTCTTTCACCCCTTTCCCTTCTTCCCTTTTCCTTCTCTTTTACTCCCTTCCCTTTTTCCCTTTTCCTTCTTCCCCTTTACTCCCTTTTTCCTTCTCTTTCACCCCCTTCCCTTCTTCCCTTTTCTTTTTCCCCTTTACCCCCTTCCCTTTTTCCTTCTATTTCACCCCCTTCCTTTTTTCCGTCTTCTCCTTCACCCCTTTACTTTTTTCCTTCTCCTTTACCCCTCTCCCTTTTTCCTTCCCATTCTCCTTCATCCCCTTTCATTCCCCCCTTTTGAGTTGACTTGCGAGTGGAAAGGGAGAAACGAGGAGGAAGGGGAAGGGGAGAGAAAGAGTAAAAGAGAGAGACGAAAGGAGGAGATAGGAGAAAGAGGGGAAAACTAGAAGAGGAGAAAGGAGAAAGGGGGGGGGCGAAGAGAGGGAAAGGAGAAAGGGGGGAAAACTAGAAGAAGGGAAGGAGAAAGGGAGGGAAACGAAGAGAGGGAAGGAGAAAGGGAGGGAAACGAAGAGAGGGAAAGGAGAAAGGGGGGAAAATTAGAAGAGGAGAAAGGAGAAAGGGGGAAAACTAGAAGAGAGGGAAAGGAGAAAGGGGGGAAAACTAGAAGAAGGGAAGGAGAAAGGGAGGGAAACGAAGAGAGGGAAGGAGAAAGGGAGGGAAACGAAGAGAGGGAAAGGAGAAAGGGGGGAAAATTAGAAGAGGAGAAAGGAGAAAGGGGGAAAACTAGAAGAGAGGGAAAGGAGAAAGGGGAGGAAACAAGAAAGGGGAAAGGAGAAAGGGGGGTAAACAAGAAGAGGAGAAAGGAGAAAGGGGGGGAAACGAAGAGGGAAAGGAGAAAGGGGGGAAAACTAGAAGAGGGGAAGGAGAAACCGTGGGGGGAACAGAGGATGAAAGAAGGGGAATGGGAGAGTGAGGAAAAAGAGGAGGGAGGAGGTTGGGGGGGGAGAGCGGAGGGGAAAGAGGACAAGGTCTATTAACGGTAAAATTGTTAAAAATCTACGAAAGAAGAGCATGGGAAATGGGAGATAAGGGGGGGGAAGGGGTTGATTGTCTTATAAGGAAAGGGAAAAAACGGGAGGGGGGAGGTGCAGGTGATGGGGGTGGTGGGGGGGGGGGTTAAGAGATACATGGGCCAGCAGTTTCCGCTCGGTAATAGCGATATAACCCTCCCCCCCCTTCTCCTCCTCTTTGTTACTAGCTTCTGTCTGTCTCTCGTTCTAACCCTTTCGCTTTTTTCTTTCCCCCTCCTCCCCCCCGTCTCTCTTTCTCCCCCACTTTCCCCAGCAGACGTGTCCTCCATTATGGCAATTGTCTGGAAGATGTAAGTACATTCTCTTCCTGCCTATGTTATTTTTTCCTCCTTTTTATTTTCCTTGCTTTCTATTTTTTTTTTTTTTATCTTCTTGTTTTTCTTCTTTTTCTTTCTTTCTCTCTTTTTCTTTCTTTCTTTTTCTTTCTTTCTTTCTTTTTCTTTCTCTTTCTTTCTCTCTCTCTCTTTCTTTCTCTCTCTCTCCCTCTCTCTCTCTCTCTCTCTCTCTCTCTCTCTCCCTCTCTCTCTCTCTCTCTCTCCCCTCTCTCTCCCCTCTCTCTCTCTCTCTCTCTCTCTCTCCACTCTCTTCCCTCCCTTCCTTTCTTCCCTCTCCCCCCCCCTCTGTCCCCTTCCTCCCCTCCCTCCTCGCCCTCCTCCTTCCCTCCCATACTTCCCTTTCTTAGTTTTTAAAACTTTTCCCCTTCACTTCTCCCTCTTCGTATGGTGAAAACTGCTTAGTTTATGCAGTTTTTATTTTTTTTTTTTTTTTTTTTTTGTTTAGTTTAGGCGCCGTTAACAACTTTGAAACGATCCTGGGAAATGATTATGTAATATGTGTGTTTGTTTGTTTGTGTGTGCTGGGGGGGGGGTATGTGTTTTTGTTTGTGTGAATGTGTAGGTAAAATGTGTATCTGTGTTTGTTTGTTTGTTTGTTTGTTTGATAGTCGGTAGGGATTTTTATGTTTGTTTGTTTGTGTGTGTATTCTTGTTTTTAATTTCCTCTCTGTGCCATCTCCCTTTCTTTTCTTTTTTTTCTTTTCTTTTTTTTTTCTTTTTTTTTGCTTGTGTCGTATCCTTTATTTTTAGTTTCTCGGTTTTTCCTTTGTTTCTTCCTCCTTTTTTCTCTTCATCCATATTCTCCATTCCTGTCTTTCTCTATTTCCACCCTTCCTCCATTCCAACTCCATATTTTCTTTCTCCTATTCCTCCTCCTCCTCCTCTTCTTCCTCCTCTTCCTCCTATTCCTCCTCCTCCTCTTCTTCCTCCTCTTCCTCCTCCTCCTCTTCCTCCTCCTCCTCCTTCCTCCGACTATTCCTCCTCCTCCTCCAACTCGTTCTCCACCCTCCCTCCCTCTTCCTACATCACCCCCCCCCCTTTCTCACCTCCTCCCCCTTCACCCCTTCCCCCCTTTCTCCTCACCCCCCCTCCTTCCATTTACCCCCCCTCCCCTTCACCCCTCCCCTTCCTCCTCCCCCCCCTCATTCCCCCCCCCTCCCCCCTCCTGCCATTTACTCCCACGAGAGCCCCGGATTAGAGCCCTGCGTCAGGAATCCGGGGATAACAAGTGAAGGAACAAAAGCGCGCACAGGTGAGCACAGAAGTCCCGGGGCGCGCACGCACAAGCACTCCACACGCACACGCTGTTACGCACACGCGCACTAGTTATGTATGTACAACGCTCGTCTGTGCGTGTACAGGGCGAACGCGCGAACCTGTTTGGGAGTTTGTA